GGAAGGAAGACCTGAGGACTTCTGGGGCTGGTAATACTTTATTTCTTAGTCTGGGCGCGGTGACATATGTATGTTTAGTTGGTGAAAATTTATTAAGTGCACTATGTTATCAAATCCACCAGCCACTCCTCGGAAGGCAGGTTGGGCAATCCTACTTCCGTAGTGATACTGCCTCGGAAACCCAAGGAGGAGTCGCTATGATTCGGGGCCGACTCGACGGCAAACAACATGTTATCTTTCGATGAAAAGTTCTAGAAACAAAAACAAAAACCAAGCCAGTTGCCGTCAAGCGCATTCCAGCTGCCGACAACCCATGTGACACAGCAGAACTGGTCCACAGGGTTTTCTAAGCTCTGGTGGCACAGTGAGTAAGACACTTGGCTGCCAACCAGAAAGCCAGTGGTTCAAACCCACCAGCTGCTCTGTGGGAGGAAGATGAGGCAATCATCATGCGGTGCCTTGGAAACCCAATGGGGGTCACCGAGAGTCCAAATTGACTCAAGGGCAGCAGGTTTGGTTTTGGAATCTTTACAGGAACAGACTGACAGGACTTTCTTCCATGGGACCGCTGGATGGCTCCAAACCGCCTCCCTTTGAGTTAGAGTCAAACACAAACCACCACACCACCTAACCCGTACACTGAGGAAAAGGTCTACATAAATAAGTCAGCCCTAACTCAGCCTTCTCAAAAAGAGGAATGAACATCTTATTGGGAGAATAAACCTAAACCAAAACCCAAAGAAAATAAACCAAACTTGTCGCCCAAGAGTCGATTCTGACTCATGGTGACCCTATGTGATAAAACTAATCTCCAACGTTACAAAGCGGGAGAGTGGTCGCCCTCCCCTGGGACAGAGTGGTGGGAGAGGGCGCTGGCTATGACTGGAAAGGGGAGAGAAGAATTGCACCCTACAGTGTTTTCAAGCCTGTGACCTTTTGGTGACAGACTGCCATGCCTGTCTTCTGAGGCACTCTGGGTAGGTTTGAACTGCCAACCTTTTGGTTCCTAGTTGAGAGCTTAATCTTTGTGAGTGCTTAACCCTTACATCATCACCCCTCCCTCCTCTGCTAGGGAGACAGGTATAGATGAACCTGCTTCAGGACAGAGGAAAAGGTTAAAAACAGTGGTTAACTCTGGGAGAGAAATAAAGGAACCAACATTTGTAAATCACTCTCTTATTGAATCCTCATTTCCACCTGAAAGGTTGGTCTCATAGCCATTTAGCAGAGGAAGAAACTGAGGCCCAGAAGCCTAAGTGTCCTGCCTGAGCACAGCCAGCCTGCGGCGGGAGAGCCAAACTCTCCCAGGCCAGACGAACCAGGCTCCAAAACCAAACCAACCTCGCTGCCATCAAGTTGTTTCTGACTCACAGCAACCCCACAGGGTTTCCAAGGCTGTAAATCTTTACGAACACAGACCACCTCATCTTTCCTCCATGGAGCAGCTGGCAGGTTCAAACCACTAACCTTCTGGTCAGCAGCCAAATGCCTCAACCACTACAGCACCAGAGCTCCTCGGGCCTGGCTCCAAGGTCTGGGTTTTTCCACAAACGGCTCAATCCTCACAGCCATCATCTAAAAACAATTCCCACCCCTACAAAGGCAGCCGACCTAAAATAAGCTCACAAACTTGCACAGAGGAGAGCTCTCTGTGCAGTTTCCAACACCCAGGCACTAACCACTTGCTATTCTGGGCTAATCAAGTAAATAATGAAGTCAGCCACTTCCTTCAACAAATAAACCCAGAAGACTCAATTTAACCACAAGGAATACAATAATAGATTGTAATCCCAGATCGATTTAGTCACCCCCTTTTTTCCCTCTATTCTGATTCATACCCCTTGTGGATGTCTCTCTCTTTTCTCTCTCCTGCAACAACAAGCACCATCCAGGCAACCCATGACAATCTAACACCTTGGCTCATGGGGAACCATTTCCGTCTGAACCTATCCTCGGAAGATGCCTGGCCAAAGAAACAAATACATAATCTCTGTGGCCTTGCGGTGCCTGGTCATCCTGCAGGCTAGTTCTAACACTGTCATCGGTCTTCAGTGCTGGGGGCTGCTGATGAGGTAAGGCCTGTGCTAGTCAGGCCTGTGCTCATATCTCATCATCTTAACAACTCGGGGTCAGGGGCTCATGGAGAAGCTTCTAGGCCAATGTTCAGGTTTCTCTCCTTGTTAAAAACACAAACGATTCCAGGACCCCTTTCCTAACCCCTGTCATTTCTCTGGATGGCTAACAACCTACCTGTTGGGCAGATACCACTCCTGGGCACTGCAGAAATAGCTGGAAGTTAGGGCACAGAGAGGTTAAGTACCTTGCTTGAGGTCACACAGCAAGTGTAAGTTGGGGTTGCCGCCAGGCAGTAAGCACTTCTTGCCTAAAGAATAATGCCTTCCTCCTCAGCGAGATGGCCATGCTCAAGCTCACAGCACCTAGAGCAGTATCATGGGTTTTAATTGTTGTTATTTTTTTCAATTTACACTGAAATTGACATGACTCCTTTTTCTAACACAGGCACAGAACAGAGGCTCTGGCAAGCCCAAAGTCAAGTTTGCTCAAACATCTTTCAAAAATGTAAATATTTCCCAGAGAAAAAGAGCTGCCAATCAATTACACATTAGTATAATTAGCCCCATCCATTTTCTTAATACCATGCATCAACAGCACTGCAGGGGTGAGTGCTAAGGAGAAGGGAGGTATGGAACGTAGGAACACAGCATATGTGGAGGGGGTGGAGGTGCGGTGCCCAAACGGAGGTTTGGAGCCCAATCTGTGGAGAGAAGCATTAGAAGGATGAAGAAGAAAGAAGATACAGATGAGAAGAGGCCTGTTTTGAAATGTGGCTAATGGCTGGCTCTGACTGTACCCAGAAGATCTGGAGGGCAATTCCTCCTGATGTACGAGGCTCCATTTCTAGGATCGCAAATTGCAGTCAGTACACTTTGAGATTTAGGTCATCTGCTACTTTGAACTAACTCTGTTGGGGATTGGGGGAGGTCTAACCATGAGCAACTGCCTTGTGGCGGGGCAGTGGGCTGCTTCTCAGAGGGCCATGCTCCCCCTCTGTGCTGTCGGACCACCACTGGAAGCAGCTGTCTGCCCAGAGGTCTTCACCAGCCAGACCACACATGGTGTGCCCCTCATGCATTGGAGGCAGGCATGTCTTCTCGATCCCCTGTTCCCTTCCATGGGGGCCTCGAAGCCACGTGCTGAAGACAGCAGAGCCAAGAGGCGGAAGGAGCCTGGATCCCTGAGTCACTGCCTGGAAGGCGACCGCTGAACACTCCTCCTGGATTGTGGTGGGAGTGAAAACTCATTGTGACTGGATTAGCCACTCAAATGTCAGGGTTGTGGCTGTTGGCCTAACCTCTAAAGAGATAACACTGGATTTTTCAAGCGTCTGACCCTCAGTCTTGAAGCATCTGCCTATGTTATCTGGTTGGGGGGTTGGCACGCACAGGTATGTGGACCCCTTGAGGTCATCTGAAAGATCTAGCACTCTTCATGCCTGTCACCAAGGATATACCCCCAGTGAAAGGAAAAAGTTTAGACAATCGATGCACAGAACTCAATACATTTCAGGGCCGTCACAATCAGTAAGAGGACAGCCAACTAAATTAAGTCGTAATCACACTTAGCACTCAGGAATCCTGCTTGCCTCACAGAGGTGTGTGTAGAAGCCAATGTAACCAATTTTGCCTTTGACATGTGGCTGACTTCTTCCAGCCAAATAAATCTGTTCAGTGTTGTCTCTGTACCTTGAAAACAAGAGTTTAAGTCAATCAGTGTTATCTGAGGACCACAATCATCGAACTCTGAAGTGCTTAAATGTCATGGAACCAGTATATTCCATTGCTGTGATTAGCCCACCATCAAGGAAATCTGGCCAGTCGGGCCTAGATGAATCTGATGATGTCTGCGTATTTCTCTTTGACTTTCATGGGCATGGGCCTTTGGAGGAAAACAGGGTGAGCTGTGCTGTTTGTGAAGGTGCTTGGCTTTTGTCTGGGCTGGACCTCCAGAAAAGGCTGGCGTGTTTTGGGGGAAGGAGAGTCAGCGAGTGTTTGAGTCCTCGCAGGCAGGAGTGTGGTAGTTCCCTGCTCCCACCGCTCCATGTCTACTGAACCACTTGCCTGGCATGTTCCATCCCTACTTGCCTGCCTGGTCTAGCTCGGCAGACACAAATCCTGCGGTCTTGCAGAAATAGCAGCAGTTCAGTTAGGGCACAGAGAGGTTAGGTAACTTGCCCAAGGCACAGCACACAGTAAGCAGAACATTTGGGATTTGAACCCAGGCAGTCGGGTGATGAATGTAATCATTTCACTGCTACGTAACATTGCCTCTCTCCTCAGGAGGGTGATTTTACAAAGACCACCTTTGTGAAGCCGCCTGTGACTTTCCCAGACACAAGGAAGCCTCCTTCCCCTAAGCCCTCTTCTGTCCTCTGCACACACTTCCACTCTGCTCATTGTCACGGTGTCCTGTGATTGCTTCCTGTCCATCTGCACTTTCAGGCCATACTCACCCACAGGGTGCCTAGAAATAAATTAGAAAAGGGTGTCTCTTCCTCAAGATATTTTGCTTCCATCTGCAGGAATGCTGTCACAACCAAGTCATAAATCAATAGTGTGTATGACATGAATGGTGCCCTCCAGGGTTGTGCAGTGCACAACCTGCACAGCTGTACACAGCAGTGGATCAAAGCCAACCAGAGAAGACTCAGCAGACAGGCCTGACAATGTGCTTCCAAAAGGTGACAGCCTGGAAAACCCCATGGGGCAGTGCTGCTCTGTACATGTGGGGCTGCCATGAGTCTGGACCGACCAGATGACAACATGTTTGTTTACTTGCTTGTCTTGGTTACTGGACCACAAGTCCTTCAAAGACAGTTCTGGGTTTTGTTTTGTTTGCTCACCCAGGTGCTCGCGGCTCCTGCACAGCCAGGGTGCACTCCCTTCCTGCTGACTTGATGGGAGTGTTGCCAGCTAACTCACCCCTAAGAGGTGGGTGCTTTCTGACTCTTCTCTCCATAACCGAAGGGATGAGGCTGCAGTCTTTGTCTTCACTGTTTCCTCCTACTCTGCTGGTGGGGAAACAACGACCACCGGTTACTGAGAGCCGGGTGTGCGTTCCTCCTTCTCTCAGGAGTGGAGATACTGTCCAAGGAATCTCTGTCACTGAAACCTTTCCCTCTCATCCCCCAATTTCACAAGTGAGGACTGTCAAGAGTACACATGGAGGCTTCGCTTCCCCCCTCAGTCACTAACTCTTCAAACACACTTGTTTACACTGAGCATCAGGAGTATTGACAAAGCTCTTTCCAACTGAGTTTGCAAAGTACACCTTCTCCACTAAACACCAGTGCCCCAGAAGTGAGCAAGAACGGCAAAGCTAACAGAGCTGCATAGTCAGTGGCTTTGAAGCCTGTCACAGGAAACCAGCTAACTTGGTGTGTTCACAGCTGACTGCCATGTGGTGGCTCTTACAGACAACTATGTGCTCAGTTACATGCTGCCAAATATGCAGTCAGGGAAGGACGGGGCACTCTGGAGGAGCTGGGGTTCAGAGTCAAGGGTAGAAAGATCTGCGGTCCTGCACAGCCCCAAGGAGGCAACTGTGTCCACAGCTTCCCAGGGAAGAACATCTCTCTTAGTTTACCTGCTCCCTAGCTTAGACAGGGAGCTCTGGTAGCATAGTGGCTAAGA